TCTGAAGTTTCTGGTTGTGGCTCTGTTTTGACTGCTCGAAGATCCTCCTCCTCTAGCTGATGGTAGCTCTTGGCGACAGACCGGGCATGAGTTGTGTTGAACTAGCCACGGGACAATGCAGTCAGAATGATAAATGTGGTTACACGGCATCTGTTTGGCTTCTGCTCCCAATTCGAACTCGTCTTTGCACACAGGACAGTTCGAGTCCGACGACCTAAGATGCCTCTGTGCGATCTTGATTGTTGGCAGTGCATCTATTGATGATCTAGGTGCGGGTGGTGGGCCTCGGCGAGTAGTGCCGGCTGAAAGCTGCTCGAATAACTCTTCAAGACCAGGACCGAAGAAGTAGTCGCCGGTGTTACCACGTGTGATGCCAATGCCTGGTGAGCCTCCATTGAAGAGGGCTTCGACTGCGGTGTCTCCAGATAGTCTATAAGGGACCTGACCACCAAAGATCAACAAAGGAGCCAGGCCTGGAAAGTTTTCAGGACCCGAACTGATGGTTCTTCCTCTGATTTCTCGGTCATGGCTCCTTTCAGCTATACGGTTCCTCATAAAGGCAGAAAAAGCATCCATGAGATCAAAAGTCGGATCGCGTTCTGTAATATCCCTGTGAGCTCTAAACATATCAAATGGGTTGGCTTGAGCCATATCAAGCTCTTCAACAAATCCTCCTCCACAATAAGAACATACAGGCTCTTGACCGTGAAGCCTGACAACACGCTGGCATCTGTGACACCAGTGGGTATTTCGACTGCTTGACATCCTCAGCTACTTACTCTTCTTCTTCTTTCCTTCCGTGGAATCAAACGAGACCACAACAGTAAAATCCTCTGCTTCAATCCCTTAGAAGAAGCTTTAGCTAATTTCAGTTATAAGCCTGCAAAAGTGGGTATAAGTAAGGCAAGCCAAAGAGTCTTTGCAAAATTTCTACTTTCCCACTTACCTCAACTCAGTGCACCTTACAAGATTCAATCATACCTACAGTGCACTTGATCAAGAAGACCAAACACCAATAATAAAATCATCGTATGTCAGAACCCGATTGCCAAGTTTGAATCTTTCATACTCTCATGAAATCTAGCCTACAACTAGCTGCTGATTAACACACAAATTTAGAAATGAAAGTTTAAGTCTTTGCCAAAGTTTGCTTATAGACTTCATTAGACCAACCCAAAACCTATAGATAGCGAGTTTGGCCCATATTATCAAATCAAAATTTCAAACTGAAACCATATATTATCGAGTGATGTAAAGAATCAAAAGGGCAAATGCCACAAACAACTCAGATGTCGGAACGAATAATCAAAAGAAACATATCAAAAATCAGGTAAAAGACAAAATCCGTAACTGCAAGCAAAATCAAGAGGCGGAAACAGGAGAATCGCAATCAATCATCTTAGTGATCCAAACACAAGGAGATAACAAAAATCTAAGATGCGAGAGACAGAGATACTAACTCAATCAGGAGGAGATTACCTCGTCATCGAGAACAATGGATCGAAAGGTGGAGGAGTAGAATCTGAAAGACCAAAGGACGAAGAAAACCCTAAAGCGACAAGATTTGGGGAAGAAGACGAAGAGAGGAATGACTCTAGAAGAATCTCCTTCGTTACAGTGTAATTAACTCTGCGAACTCACAGTTTGCCACGTGTTTTAACTTTTTAATTAACTGTAGAAGGTAGGTTAGTTAGGCATAAAAAAGTGTTTTATGGGCCTTTGGTTGATAACTTTTTGGGGCATAACCAAATATTACGGGCCTTTGGGCTTTGGTTAATATTTTTTCTGGATTTTTTATAAGGTCATTTCCTAATTTAAACGAGAAATGAAATTGGAGAACAAAAAAAAACTAAGAGCCAATGTTTTAGAATTTGGTGAAATGTGGCTTTAGAAGTGAAAAGAAAACAAAAAAAAAACACAGCTCATGTTGTTCCGTTTGTTTCTGGATTGGACTGATTCATAAACGTTATTTTCATTTCAGTTATATATAATGTATATTTTATAAAAAAAAAAAACACAATTATAAACAACACAAAAAACAGGTAATGAAAACGGTTAATGTAAAACTCTATCGGACAACGAATTTAGGTTGGAGTAGTATAGTCCTCTTCACGTTATTGATTGATGGTTTATCTTTTTAATTTGGTGAATATATCAAATAGTTTTGTTTTGACCTTTCTACTAAAATGTTTTAGCCTTTTCAAGACAAAGATTTCACCAGTTGTATTATCAATTTATCATGACTCCACACTCACAAAGACTCATACATTATTTGTTCAAAATGTTTATATTTTTACGTGAATTTGTTAAGTTTTTTTTTGCCATATGCTATCATTGAATTCTAGAGATCTCTTTTGTTTGTTCGAAACTTTCTTAGAGGTGGATTAAGATTGCAATATTTATGGCGACATTAAATGGTTTTACAGAGTTGGCTACGCGGATTAATAACTCGTGAAATTGCAATAAATAAATATATTTAAATTTTGATTTTGATTATATCATTGTCGATATCTATATAGCCGTCTAAATATAAATAGCCCGAAACAAAGTAAAGAACTAGAGGATGGCTTCCTTTCTC